ATTTAGATACTTGAGACATTGTTGCCTCATACTTATCATTTTAAGAAATAATTGGATTTAGTTGTAGCCATAACTCTATATTTATCAATTTCAACCATTCTATTTCCATATTTTTATACATTTTTAATGCAATTATATTTTTAGTACAATTGGATAAACTCAATGAATAAACCAAATGATTTTAGTCCTTTTAAGATTTTAAGGACTTTCTTTTATGACTTTAATAAGTGTTTAAACTTATTAGCTTGTATAATTTGTTCATAAAATTATACTAAAATCTTACAACACTATGGTAGTAATTTTTATTTCTTTTGATTCTTATCACCCTTACCATATGCAAGTATGCATTCTTTTATTAAAAGAATATCTCATTCAATTATCAAGATATCATATATACTTAATCAAGTTGCCATTTCATTTATCTTTTCACTATTTGGTGATTTTTTTTTTAAGTAAGAGGTCTCCAAATTCATCCTTAGTGAAAGATAACTAGTTGATATCTTAATATTTCAATAAAGGTTTCAAAACTTTTATATTTTAACTCAATATAAAAGTTTACATCAATAAGCAGGTTTCAAATATAATCATGCTTCATAGTCTTCTTTTAAGATTTTTATGTCAATTCATAAATATTTATATAAATCTATTTCATTGTGGACATTATTAATCATTTTTTTTATTACCATGAACAAAACCATTTTCATCACCAAAATGGATCAAATAGCATTCTTTTTGCTATTATAAAAGATTTCAAATTCACAAAATCTTTGAATCACTCATGACTTTCAAAGTAAACATACTTTGAAAATTTCATTATATCACTGTTTAGGTAAAAAGAGTTTTCAAGTCTCCCAGTTAGGGATGCATTTGAAGGAGCTTTCAAATTTAGAAATGCACCTTGTATGGTAACACAGCCATAGCACTCAAAGTAAACTAGAATTTCATAAATTGTCTATACAACAGCTATGGACATCTTTTCCAAAGAAACTATATAAGGATATTGCCTATGTACCTCCATAGATAAATTGATGAGAGACCTTGGTGTGTTGAAGTTTCTCTGTGGTGTCTTTGGACATGATTCATAAGTAGATAAAAATGAGCCACACCCATCGAATGCTCCTTACATTTTAAAAGGGTAGAATTCTGGTAACATTTGCTCCCAACATTGTCCCCATGGTCAAGCAAAACATTCTTATGGGAATTTACAATACTCTGTTCCCAACCCTTTTCAACTAAACTACTTTGCTTAACCCACTTCTTTTTCTTACCACTAGTTCTATTTCTTCTGAATATTGACTTTAAAGAATCATCTTTTGTAGAGTTAGAAGAAAATAACCTACCTCTTGATGCATTATGATTACTTTCCACAGAAACATCACATGCCCTTACAGTGGCTTCTATAAAGTCTGAAACATTTACTGAATTCGATAGAGATGTCTTCTAAAACTACCACTTAGAGGAATGCCACTATTTACATCATTATCTTTTCGTGGACCATCTCCTATGGTCGATGTAAGTTTTTTTGGATATGAGGTCCTTATGAAAGATGAAAAAATGGATTCAACTGGCGAACCCCTTGAGCCGGGTAAGTAAGGCAAGCACTTTGCCTAGTTTTCACTCCTAAGTCATTTACGCACTGTATTCTTTTGATTCTAATAGCTTATGCTTTAACTGTAATCTTGGGCCCTGACGATTACAATAGAAAATCAATAAAAAGTAACATGTAATAATACTTTAGGATGAATTGGTCATTAATCCAATTATTTATTCGAGACCGAAGTCTTTGTTAACTTTCATGTGATTGCTAGCTAATTTTCTCTATTGCCTAAAGTTTTGGAATAAATGAATTCCCAACCTATAAAAAATAGAACTAGACTGAGTCAAGGGAAGAAACTAAGGTCTTGACAGAGCCTATCTAAAAGGTTATAGAAGATCGACTCATCTTTGAGGTAGAAAGCCATTGTTGACTGATGTCTATGAATTTATTTTGTTGATAGACCTAGTCCTCGACTTGAGGATTACTACTTGACCTTTTTTCTTATACCTCCACAGCAAGACTAAGTTCAGTTCCCATTTAAGGTCATCAGATTGATAGAGAAGAGCTAAATAACTTATTTTTCATCTTCATATTTTTTGTTTGGTTACTTATCAAATATTGATTCAACAAAGACATTCCCTATTCTTTTGAAGTATGTTTGCCAATGCGTACACTTCTTTTATTTAGGGGAAAACCATGCTCAGATAGCTTCTTTCGCATCAACTGATGATCTTCTTCAACATCAGAACAAAGCATTTAGGCTATCGTGGCTAAGGCCTTACTCGGATTGACTACTAATTCAAGGAGAGAATATTTCCATTTCACTACCTTGAGTGTACTTCCCATTCTAAGGATCTGTTCTCTTGTCTATCATATCTCTTCCTCTGGTTTGATTCTTTGCTCTTTATGGTACTCTTGAGCCTTTTTCCTGGTCCTATGTTGGCCTTCTACATATGATTGCTCTTATTGGTATCTGTTCTCAATTGGTTCCACTGCTGCTTTCACTTTCACTAAATTTTAATGATTTAACTGATTTTCTTGAGCTGGGGATGTAAGAAAGCTATGAATCTTACTTTTTTTCTCTTGACTTGACTCTATTCCATGCCAAGACCGATAGAGAAAGGACTAGTCTTGCCTAGAGATAGAAATATGATTGAAGTTCGAGCTGGCATTATTATTTGAACTTCAGATCAATCGAGATTGAGCCAATCTCACACATTTGCGAAAAACCAAGAGATAGGGGAATAGCACCACCAAAAAGACATCAAATCGAAAAGTCTCATCAAAGTTAAAGATCCGTATATTACATCACTGGTTGGTTACATCAGATTAACAGACCATTTGAGGATAGAACCTGACTCAAAGAGAATGGAACGACTTGTTCCAATAAATAAATTCTTAACAAAGCGCATATTTTGAGCTATAGCGGGTGTTTTCAGTCTTGATTGCCTTTTACCTTTATGATAAACCTTTTCAAAAATTGTTGAATTTAAGCCAATGAAGCCAATATGTTATCCTAGCTTGGAGCCTATTTTCGACTTGAATATGTGTGTTTAGGCCTTTCCTATTCTTTTCTTCTTTTACCAGTAGGGGTGGAAACATGGGTTAGAGCTTGAGTCAAAGAATGGTGGAGTGGATTCCAATTAAATACTCAGCACCCCCAAGCTGCGCAATATAGACCTTATTTGATCTCGTCAACAAGCTGTGATGCTATCGACAAATGCAAAAAACTATTTTTATGCGGAGCGTAAAACTCAACTTAAGTATGGACGTCCCCAAGACCTCATTTAAATAGGTTTATCTCCATTCTTGTTGATTTGACTTATGATAGCTCGTAAAAATCGTAGCCCTTTAATTGCTTAGGAGAAGTAGCATTATTTAGTAAATAAGCCTTTTCTTGCTTAATGTTTTCCTAGCTCGAGTTATTACCCGTGATCAACCTATGAAATTGCTTGCACCAACGTATGCTTCTAACGAAGATATTTATAAAAATTAATATTTTGGTCCATAGAAATATTAATCTTTTGACACCTTGAGTTTTCTTTAATATTGATCTTTAAATCATGATAATTTCTTTCTCTTGTATCTTCGTTATGCGAAATATAAATTTCTCATAATTACCTTTAAATTATTAGAAAAAATAAATAAGAGAAGAGAAATAATAGAAAAGAATTTTAGCTTTGAGATGTGAAGAACACTTTCTTAAAGGCAATTATGCCTTTAGGATATAACAAAGTCGCAAACTCTTCAATCAGAAATAATGAAAATGGTTATACTAAAATATTTATTTATAATGTATGAGCAGACATAAACTTCTATTCAGATGGTTATGACTTTTGTATAATCATGACCTTTATAAATAGTAATCTATTTATATTCAAATAGTTATGATCATTTGTCATATAATAATTGTTTCTATTCAAACATAATTATTTAAAATATAAATAAAATTAATACAAAATTAATTTTATTCATCAATAATTAAATCTTTCTATCCAATGTGGGATGTACCACATTCTAAACTAACAACACATGTCATATAAGCATTTAGGGTTAATGGTGTTAATAGTTAGGGTAGTTTACTATTCGAAAATGTAGTTTAGGTGCTTAATTAGAACTTTTTTAGTTTAGGTATTACATTAGAAAAAATACAATAACTCATGGGCTAAATGGAACATCATTCCTTTTAGAATTTATTAAGGAAATAATTCAGAGTATTATCTCCAAACCTTATTCACATGTCCAAACTACTCGATTGATGTGATTATCGATTAATTGGCTACCTTTTTGTTTTAAATAAAGCTTAGAATGCATCCAACTAATTCGTGATTCAAAATGGATTCTTTTTTATATCAATCGGATGAAATATGAGACGTATAAATCGATTGGTGACTATTTTTTAAATCCAATTCAAGTTGGTTTGCAAAAAGACAAGTTTAAAATTATTTGAAAAAGGAATTACAACAAAATAAAACCTTTTCAAAAACCCTTAATTATAAAAAAATAATAATGCTTACAATAAAATATATTACAACAAAAAACTTTAATTATAAAAAATAATAATGCTTGTAAATGGAATATATTACAAATGAACTGAGAGTACAATGTTAAGACTCAATTTTATAATCGAATGTAAAAAAATCGAATGTAAAAAAACACCTTTTTCATCTCAAAATATTTAGAATGTATTAATTTTTATAAAGTTAAAAAAAGGTTTGACTCTAATACAATTAATATGAAAATTAATTTTTTTATAAAATTAAAATTTAGTGATTTTTAACATCAAAAAATAAAAAAAATCATAAAAATAATTTTAAAAAATAAAAATTTTAGATATTTTTAAAAAATAGTTTTGACATATCTAAAAAAAAAAAATAATAATCAAATGAAAATAATAGAGAAACACAATATAATCGGTGTTCATAGGAAAAAGCGGCCTCGACAGTGTCATGATATTACCTTACACAATTATAATGTAAGAGGTACGGATAAGGACCAAAACTCCCCAAGCCAATTGCTCGAAACAGTTTGGTCGACAAAAACTAATAAAGACCAAGTACTAAAGGCTACTCTTTTTCTAATTTTCTCTTTCTTCTCGTTAGTCCTTTCAAATCCTCTCAATTTCTGACGAGAAAGAGAGAGAGACAGAGAGTTCCTGTGAGAGAGGAAAAGAAAGGAAGAGATTAATCCCAAAACTGAAACAAAATCCTGTCATTTCCTCATCCTCCTCTCTCTCAAATATTCTAGGGTTTTTATTTTCCACGATACTATGGTTAGTTCTGTCTTTTCATTTCATTTCATTTTTTTTTTCTTGTTATTTTCGTCAAAAAAGTTGTTGTGTTGGTTTATGTTTCTTGCTTCTTATGTAGAAACTATTTTTGGTCGAATTAAGATGTAAATTCTGCTCAAATTCTGCCTCTGGGTTATTATTATATAGACATATATCTCTCTGTAACCAGAAAATCGAAGGAATTTGAGTTCTAGGAAAGGATAATTGAGGAAACTAACTCAAATAAAAGGTTGGGTTTTTGTTGAATTAAAAAGAAGTAAGAGAAATTATCACTCAATGTTCTCTTCTTAGATTGTTGATTTGTATATGGGTTTCAACTCTACCTCAGTTTTCTTACAAATAAAATTTATCAAATAAATTTTTTTTTTTTTGTTTTTAACTATTTGGCCGCATGAATGTAGTGTGTAACAAATCTTCTGAGCTTATGTCATGTGATATGGTTTGTAACAGCACAAACTGGGCAGAGGTCACCGGGACAAAGTCCAGCAGTTCATGACAATAACTGGAGCGAGGTAACCTGATGTTCTTTTTGTGGTTTTAACTGTTAATATTTGAGTGCTTCTGGGGTTTACTTTCTAAAACATTTTTAACGTAGAGTTAGTTTGAAAATGGACTGGAAAAAGGGTTTAGGACCAAATATGAAAAAGAAGGAACAGCAGACAGCCAAAAAATTCAGAGGATGGTAATGGAAGGATAACTTATTGCCTAAAAGAATTAAAATTAAGACTGGAGAACTTAGAAGTAGCTCACTAATTATTAATGACTATAGATTTCCTAGTGAGCCCTTCATAGTCAGCCTTGGCAGGCCTTTTGGTGGATTTACAGGCTGCTACAAATGAGGAATGCTGGCTTTTCTTTTTTTTTTTTTTTCCTCTTTTTCGTTAGTCTTTTCCAATATCAGATTGATGGAAATTTGGATTGAGCTTGACTGCCTGTCTCTAAAAAAAACCCATTGTGACTGCGATACTGTCCTTATATTTTAGCCTCATGAGTTGATTGACAACGGAGTTTCACTAAACCGTCAAAAATACATTTTCTTAATTCAAATATATATTCTTTATTGCTCCAAATGGTGTTAGTTTGAAATAGTAACGAACGCTGTTGGGATCATCATTGGAACAAAATTGTTTTATCGATGTTGTCTTTACTCAATTTTCTAATGGAGTCAATTAATGGGAATAAAGCTGCCTATTACACTTTTTTGTTTTTTGATTACATTGGTAGAACCTATTGGGATGCTTCCCTATTGGCTTAAAAATATAATTTAATGACTTGTAACTTTCTAGTTAGTCTATTATTATTCTTCTATGCTTCCCTTATCTAGTTATGCTCTCATTAAGATCAAAGTTTTTTAACTTTTCTACATTGCTTAAGCCTACTCATTTCCATTGTATCTATGTGAATTTTAAACTATCGTTTACATCTTAAATAAGTTTTATATCTACATACAGACGTGCATGCATGCATGCATCCATACATACATATGTGTGTGTGTGTGTGTGTTTCTTTTTTGTGTTGTGTTGTTGGTGTATAATCCTCCAGGAGCTAGGTATATATGTGAAATTCTTGTTTCTAAATTCCATCAACTTCTGTACATCATTCTTCTGCTAGGCAGTTCACCTTCTAAAACATATAAAATCCGCTACAACCATCTTATAGCCACTCTTTAAGATAAATCTGTTTGTTACTTTCCTTGCAAAACTTGAACTGCTTCAGATTGCTTTGGAATCCTACCTGTCAAATTATGTGGCTTTATTAGGAAAGTCGTGTGACTGTTAAGGATTTTGTGTGATTTCTTAATTTTTAGGATTTTGGTTAGGTGTTTATACTGCTTGGGTAGTTTCCTATTTTATAGGGATTTTGTTACTGATTTTAGGCTACGATAGTGTATATAATTATTTGTTGTAACCTATTCAATTAAGTTAGAAAACATTCTTTCTCCTAATTACGTTTCTCAACATGGTATCAGAGCATTTGGCTATTTCCTGAGAATTCTTGCAATTTCCTTTTTTTCACTTCTATTCTATTCTGGCCAAATTCCTTCATCTCTGTTCATCCCAATATTTTTCGTTTCTTCACTCATATTCTCCTGTTCATGGTCTTCTCTTTCCTTTCAAGCGAATATGTCAGAGTCCACCGAAACCAGCCCTGTCTCGGATGCCCCTGCAACTGAGAATACTGCTGTATCAACTGGGGATTTACCAAACATTCAAGTGGTGTATCAATTGAACGGAAAAAATTACTTGAGGTGGTCACAATTGGTCCATATGTTCTTGAAGGGCAGAGGGAAATTGAGCCATTTGTTGGGCACAGGTCCTTTGAAGGATGATCCCAAATTTGCGGCATGGGACGAACAGGATTCAATGGTGATGTCGTGGTTATGGAATTCGATGCTACCAGAAATTAGCGATACGTGTATGTTTCTCGGAACCGCCAAGGAGATTTGGGATGCTATCCGACAAACATACTCCAAGGTTCATGACGCTGCCCAAATCTATGAAATGTTGACATAAATTTCAGCAACCAAACAAGAGACTCGAACTGTCACGGAATATTCGAGTTTCTTGCAAGGCTTGTGGCAGGAGATGGACCATTATCAATGTATTCAAACGCGTTGCAGTGAGGTTGCCGCTATTGTGAAGTGGTTCATGGAGAAGGATTGTATCTATGACTTTCTTGCCGGTCTAAATGTCGAGTTCGATGCTATTAAAGTGCAGATTTTGGGAAAAAAAGACCTGCCCTCCTTGAATGAGACAATTTCGATCATATGAGCTGAAGAGGGATGACGAAGTGTTATGCTTGAAACCTACAGAGGAGATAGTTTTGCCCCTGTGACCAAAACAATCGTTTTGAAGGAATCCAGCCCGTTGCAATCTATTGTCCAAGAAAATCAATGCAAGCTCACCAATTGAGAGTCCTTATTTTGCATGTATTGCAAGAAGCATTGCCACACCAAGGAGCAATGTTGGAAACTCCTTGGCAGGCCCAATTGGAGTGCAAATGACAGAGGTCAAGCGCATGTGGCAAGCACTCAATCGAGCAGTGAAGGGAGTGTCCAGAGTTTGATCTCTAATTTCAACATGGAAGAGATTGAAAAACTGAAGAATTTTTTGGGGACCCTTGAGAAACCTTCCTCGGCAGGTACATGTTCTCTGGGCTTTTTCAGATATCTCTTCTTCCTCTTGTGTTGCTAATGTTTCAAAAAAAATTTCTCCAAAGATGTGGGTGATAGATTTTGGAGCCATTGATCATATGACTTGTTCCTTTGAGTCTTTTTCTTCCTATACTCCTCGTTCTAGTCATAGGAAAATAACTATAATTGATGGGTCTATTGCCACTATAGCAGGTCAAGGGGACATTTATATAAGTGATTCTCACACGGTAAAAAATGTCTTTCATGTTCCAAAATTGTTTACGAACCTTGTTTCCATTCAAAAGCTTACCAAGGATTCCAATTGTAGTGTAACATTTTTTCCTTCACATTGTGTTTCAGGAGTAGGACACGAGGAGCACGATTGGATGTGTTAGTGAGAGTGATGGTCTTTACTACTTGGGAAAGCAAAATGGAAGAACTAGAGTTGAGAATCCTTTATCTACATCATTTCTTTTTGAGTCAGTCATGTCAAATAAAAATAAAATTTGGCTCTGTCATCGTCATTTAGGTCATCCATCATTTAATGTCCTTAAGTTGATGTTTCCTTCGTTATTTAAAGGGTCGACTTTTTGAGTCCTTTCATTGTAATGATTGTGAACTTGCCAAGTACAAACGTGCTTCATTTGCAATAAGCAATACAAAAACCCTTAATCCTTTTTCTCTCATTCATAGTGATATTTGAAGACCTTTTACGGTTCGAAATATTTCTGGTGTTAAGTGGCTTGTTTCGTTTATTGATGATTGTACACAAGAAACGTGGATTTATCTTTTGAAAAATAAATCTAATGTTGGCACTGTTTTTCCTAATTTCTACAACATGATCAAAATACAGTTTTATGTGAGAATTAAGTGGTTTCATTCTGGTAATGCCAGGGACTATTTCAATCAAATTTTCTCATTTTTTTCAAAAAGAAGGAATCATTCATGAGTCCTCTTATGTTAGTACCCCACTACAAAATAGAGTGGTCAAGCGTAAAAATGGCCATTTTCTAGACGTCACAAGAGCTTTATTGATTCACAAAAATGTTCCTAAAACATATTGGGGAGAAGCCGTTTTAATTGCTACCCATCTAATTAATAGACTTCCAACTCGGCTCTTTACCTTCAAAAGTCCAATTGAAATTCTCACACAGTTTTTCCCAATTTCAATGCTTCAAACAATCTTATTCCTCAAATTTTGGAAGTGTTGCCTTTGTTCATGTCCATGCTCAAAACATGGGAAAACTCGATCCACATGCTCTTCGGTGTATTTTCATTGGGTGTTCTTTTACATAAAAGGGTACGAGTGTTACCATCCACCTACCAAAAAACTGTCTTCGTTGATGTTACTTTTGTTGAAAATGAGTCCTTTTTCCAACATTCCTATCTTTAGGGGGAGAAGTTGAGTGAAGATAGAGCAGAGGACTTGTTTCTCCTTGATTTTCCCAGTCAGCTTGTTGAGTCTCCATTTGAACCCGTTTCAGTTGTTGTTCAGTCCGTATCTGCTGAGTCATTTGTTGAGTCACTTGTTCAACCTACTACTCCATTTGTTGGCTCATCTGTTGAGTTTGTACCATTTGTTGAGTCATCTATTGAGTTTGTACCATTTATTGAGTCATCCAAATCGTGTGAGGTGATGAAAGATAAGGGGAAACAAGACAATATTCAACCACTACAGGTCTATTCCAGGAAGAAAATTCCAGTCTCTCGATCGATACAGGTACAATCTCTTATTTGTGCAGTTGCTTAGATTCCCAAAACCATTTCCATACCTACCAAAAATATCATACCATCCGCTGAGCCCATTGAACTAGTAGATAAACCAAAAAAACCGAGTGATGCCGATCTACCAATTGCTACTAGGAAAGGAATTAAAACCTATGCTAAACATCCTCTGTACCTATTCTTAACCTACCAAAACCTATCCCAAAATCATAGAGCATCCTTAAGCAACCTTCACACAATCCCCATTCTGAAATCTATCCGAGGCATTAGGGTACAAAAAGTGGGAGGATGCTATGAAAGTTGAGTTGGAAGCTCTTGCAACGAATAAGACATGGGAGTTGGGCAAATTGTCAAGAGGAAAGAAACTGGTTAGATTTAGATGGGTTTTCACCGTGAAGTACAAGTCCGACGGTTTCGTAGAAAGATACAAGGCAAGGCTGGTTGCCGACATTTGCCCCTGTTGTGAAGATGAATACAGTGCGGGTTCTTTTGTCGTTGGCTGCCAATTTCGGGTGGAATCTACAATAGTTTGATGTTAAAAATGCGTCTCTATGGTGACCTAGAATAAGAGATTTATATGGAAGTTTCTCTTGGATTTGAATCTAAAGAGGGAATGGTGTGCAAGTTGAAGAAAGCTCTCTACGAACTCAAACAATCTTCGAGAGCCTGGTTTGGAAGATTCACCGAGGCGATGAATAACTTGGGAAATAAACAGAGTCAAGACGATTATTTTTTATTTGTGAGATTGTTTCAGGAGTGATAGCCTTGTTGGTGTATGTAGACAATATTATTGTAATAGGCAATGATGTGGGATGGATGGACTATTTAAAACAATGCCTTCTGAAAAAATTTGACATTAGGGAACTTGGGAAATTGAAATACTTCCTAGGTATTGAAGTGGCGCATTCAAAACAAGGGATCTTTATTTCTTAGCAGAAGTACGTGCTTGATTTGCTAAAAGATCTTGTTTTTAGTGGATCTCGTGGTCGATAGAGGCTTTTATTAGAGGCTAGTTGGGAGGCTGATTTATTTGGTACATACGAGAGTAGATATTGCATTTGCCATGAGTGTTGTTAATAGATTTATGCACAATACTAAAGAAACGCATCTCAAGGTAGTTCATAGAATATTACAATACTTGAAGGGCAACCCTAATAGAGGTATTTTGTTCAAGAAAGGAGAAAGCATGACATTAGAGGCCTATACCGATGCTGATTATGCAGGATCTCTAGTGGACAAGAAGTCAACTTCAGGTTATTGTACCATCTTAGGAGGGAATCTTGTAATGTGGAGTAAGAAGCAAAACGTGGTGGCAAGATCAAGTGCAGAGTTTGAGTTTAGGTCAATGGCAATGGGAATATGTGAACTACTATGGTTGAAGATAATTCTTGATGATTTGAAGATAAAATGGAAAGGACCAATGAGATTATATTGTGACAACAAATCTGCCATCAATATTGCTCATAATCTTGTACAACACGATCAAACGAAGCATATAAAAGTTGACAAACATTTTATAAAGGAGAAAATTGATAGTAGCCTAATATGTACTCCATTTGTTTCATCAAAGGATCAATTAGTAGATGTACTCACAAAGGGGCTGCCAAGCACTATGTTTCAGGATATTGATGAATAGGTTTTTTTTATTCCCAGCTTAAAAATAATTTCTTGAAATATTGCACTGCTGAAACTTTTAGTCAACACATCTACAAGTTGACCCTTGGTTGATACATAAGGTGTACAAATCAACCCACTGTCTAGTGTCTCCTTTATGAAATGTCGGTCTACTTCAATGTGTTTTGTTTTGTCATGTTGCACAGGATTGTGCGCAATGCTTATTGCAGACTTGTTATCACAGTAGAGTTTCATTGGTCCATCCCACTTGATCTTCAAGTCTTCTAGGATAATCTTTAACCATAGTAGTTCACAAATTCCTTGAGCCATTGCTTTGAACTCTGCTTCAGCATTTGATCTTGCCATCACATTCTGTTTTTTACTCCTCCAAGTCACAAGATTACCATCTAAGAATGTGCAGTAGCCTGAGGCGAATCTTTTATCAGTTACTGAATCTGCATAATCAGCATCTGTATGCTTCTAGAGCTAGCCCTAAATTTCTTTTAACTAAAATACCTCTCCCAGGATTGGCCTTCAAATAGTGCAATATATGGTAGACAGCCTGTAGGTGCACTTCTTTAGGATTATGCATAAATTGACTTACCACACACAGCATATGCTATATCAAGTCTAGTGTGTGAGAGATAAATGAGTCTTTCAACTAATCTTTGGTACATCTCTTTAGCTACAACAACATCTTCATTAGCTTCTCCAATTTTATGATTAGGATCTATATGGGCATTTGCAGGTTTACATGTGAGCTTCCCTATTTCCTTCAGAAGATCCATCACATATTTCTGTTGTGAGGAAAATACCATGTTGCGAGTGAGCTACTTCAATTCCTAGGAAGTACTTCAATCTCCCTTGCTCTTTTATCTCAAATTCTCTAGCCAAACACTGTTTTAGAGATTCTCTCTCTTTTTCATCATCTCCAGTTACAATTATATCATCAACATACACTAATAGAATTGGGACTCTCCCTGAATCAGAGTGCTTGATAAACAATGTGTGATCTCTTTGACTCTGTTTATTTCCCATTGCTAGCATCATTTTGGCAAATCTCTCGAACCAAGCCCTAAGAGACTATTTAAGGCCATATAAAGCCTTTCAACTTGCGTACTTTGTTTGCTTCTAGATGACCTCAAAATCCCGGTGGAACCTTCATATATATTTCTTCTTCCAAATCACCACGTAGAAAACCATTCTTTACATCAAATTGTTGAAGTTGTCAATTGTAATTTGCAGCCAATGATAACAAAATCCTAATTGTATTCATCTTGACAATTGGATCAAAGGTTTCCTGATAATCCACTCTATAGGTTTAAGTGTAACCCTTAGCCACTAACCTGGCTTTATACCTTTCAACAGTACCATCGACCTTGTATTTTACAGTGAAAATCCATTTACACCTCATTGGATTTTTTCCTTTAGGCAACTCTACCAGTTCCCATGTCTTATTTTTCTCTAAGGCTCCATTTCTATTTCCATGGCTTGCCTCTATTTCTCACTGGATAATGTCTCGGATAATGTAGTTGGAACAAAAATAGTGTTTAGGCTCACAAGAAAATTTTTGTGGGATGGTGAGAATGTTTCAAATGACACAAAATTGGAGATTGGGTATAGTGGATGCTTAGTACATTATCTGGTTCCTTTCCTAATGGCAATAGGCAAATCATAATCACTAGATATAGTTTGAGGAGATTCATGCTCATTTTGAGAAACAGAGTCAAAAACTGTAGTTACCTCATTTCAGAGTTAGGATTAGGTTCTTGAACTGGCATTGTTCAGGATTTGGAACTTTCTTTCTTGAGTACACCTGTAATTACTTCGTAGAATCAAGAACAATATTATCCTTTGTCACATCTTTTGTATTTGGAATAGGTTCAGACTCAAATTCAGTGTTTGACTTGGGCTCAGCAGAAACAAGTTTCGATTCAGAAGAATTAATGGGTGAACATGTTGAAGAATGGGACAAATCAAGCAAAAAGAAGTCTTTATTCTTATCTTCCATGAATGAAGTCTCCCCTTAAAGATAAGGTTGAGTAAAAAATGGTTTATTTTCTTTAAAAGTAACATTTGCAAACACAATTTTTTGGTAGGAGGATAATAGCACTTATACCTCTTTTGAGTTGATGAATACCCCACAAATATACACTTAATCGATCTTGGATTCAACTTTCCCTTATTATGACTGTGAACATGAACAAATGATGTACAACCAAATATTCTAGGTGTGAGGTTGTTTGTGGTATTAAGGTTGGGATAGAATTATTATAGTAGTTCCATAGGAGTTTTAAATCCCAAAACCCTTGAAGGTAACCTATTTATAATATGTGTGGCAGTGAGAACAGCTTCCCCCAGTAAGATTTGGGTACATTTGCTTGAAAAAGTAAGGCTCGGATTGTGTCTAGTAAAATGGTTGTTTTTCCTTTCTGCCAATACATTTTGTTGGAGTTTTAAATCCCAAAACCCTTGAAGGTAACCTATTTATAATATGTGTGACAGTGAAAACAGCTTCCCCAGTAAGATTTGGGTACATTTGCTTGAAAAAGTAAGGCTTGGGTTGTGGCTAGTAAATGGCTGTTTTTCCTTTCTACCAATGCATTTTGTTGTGGAGTATTGACACAAGATGACTCATGGATAATCTCCTCTTTTTGAAAATAGGTGGATAGACTCTGGTTGAAATAGTCTCTTGCATTATCACACCTAAATCTCTTGATTCTCACTCCAAATTGATTTTGGATCATGTTTTGGAAGCTTAAAAACACACTATTCACATTTGATTTAGATTTAAGTGAAAAGAAATCATCTAAATCTAACACTGATAACATATTCCTAGAAAACAGATAGATGCTTTACTATTGGTGCTTTATGTTACTTCTCTGTTTGTAATACTATTCACTCTATCTTCACATGCATGCCAATGTTATTTTCTCAAGTCACTGTATTAAATATATGGTTTTGCAGTCTGTAATCAAGACTGTATGTGTCAGCGGGTGGTCTACTTTTCAGTTTTTTCTTTTTTTTTTTGTTCACAAATGTCATTCATTTCTTTATTTAATTCCAGTGAAAAGATTGCTCTTCAAGCTTTGAAAGCCAGTGATTGGCATCTTGAAGGAGCTTTTGATGTTTTCTACAACCAGCCTCACATTAAAAGTTATACTGATACTAGATATTTGGAAGAGCTTTATAACAGATATAAAGGCAAGCTTTTCTTTTCTTTTGTCTATTTTGTTTCACTTCCCATTCGTACTTTGTACTTGCTGTATGGCTTTCTTTAGGCCCTTAAAAAATAATACTATAAAGGTGGGGATAGTCCGGATGGAGACTTGCCTTAATTTTGTGGTTTTGTTTGATTTTAGTATTGTAGATGTAACATTAACAGAGAATACCGCTGAACTTTTCTTGTTTGCTTTAGATATTGGTATATTTGTATTTTCATTTTGATGACCAGAAATTCATTATCTGCTGCTTACCTTGTAAATATTAATAACTTGGCTGTATTTAGTAGCTTGTACAATTCTTTTCATAAAAAATACATACTTCAATATATTTTGCAGATCCCTACACAGATATGATACTGGCTGATGGCATTACTCTCCTATGCAATGACCTTCAGGTAGCCTTATTTTTCTATTAAGATTTGATGCCTGACATTTTTAGATCCTTTGCTTTACTTTTCTATTATTTCATGGATAGATTAAATTGTTTTGTTTTGAAATTTGGATGACATGTGGTAGCCTTCATTTTTTGACAGGTGGATCCCCAAGATATTGTTATGGTATGTCTGCATCCGGAAGTGTATCTCTTGTGATAAAAGGCATTCATAAGAAGAAGATTTATTATTTTTATGCATATATACTCCTTTTTATTTTACGTTTTGCCCAACTTTCCAAAGTTTTAACAAAAGGTCTTAAAATCTTACTAATGTTGTTGGCTATGTTTATCACCTTTTCTTCTGATCTTGACAAATGGTGATACAAATCATTCTAAATTATCTTTTAAATACCTGGTTGGAATTAAACGATTTGCAATTTAGAGTGCTGTAACAGCAGGATTTTGGCTTTGGTAGAAGCTAATGAGGTATAAGAATGGTAGGGTTCTGAACTTTTTAGTTATCAATTTTGGCTCCGGTAGTTGCTCGATCTCCCGTTCTGATGACTGATGAAAATGATGATAGATTTAGGGTACTTGAGGTTAAATATTATACTAAACTATTAAAGGAAATATGGACATCGTCATAAATAGTTAGAATCTTGTAGGAGGTTTCACAAGATGTCAATGGACTATCTGGTTTCAATAAATATGGACAATTATGCTAATATTGTAGTAAACTGCAGTTAGTTCTTTCATGGCACATGAAGGCTGCTACCATGTGTGAATATTCCAAGCAGGAGTTCTTCATTGGGTTGCAGGCACTCGGGTGAGGATTTAGTTTTTATTTTATTTTTTTATTTAAATCTTCTAACTTGAAATGATATTAGGTTGGACATTTGACATACTATGATGAGAATACTGACAGAAGGTTATACATTTTCATGGCAGGATAGATTCTTTGGAGAAGTTTCGTGAGAGGATATCATTTATGCGTGCTGAGCTGAAAGATGAACGTACATTCAATGCTTCATAGAGAATAGTTTTCCGTATTCAATCAAAAATTTACTGTAACTTGTCATGCATTCTGCATTTGAAAGTAAAAGCTTCTTTTATTTAGATATTTATGCTGGACAATTATCTTTTGTTAAATAGGTCAGGTTTATTAATACGTTGCAACCCGTAAGTAAAACATATTGTGTTGTTGGTAGTGCAAATTTTTTTTCATCTTTGCTTACTGTGACTGCAGAAAAGTTTCGTGAGATATATAACTTTGCATTTGGCTGGGCAAAAGAAAAGGTATACTATCTTTTCATGTCAACATCCTTAACTGTAAGTTATCTCTAGGAAGATAGATAATTTGCTGCTAAATGAATTAATAGTTTCAGTAAATTTTGTTGGATTACATAGTTCGTGAATGATATTTCTTTTTCCTTGTAAGCAACTGATTGTCTGACATAGTTATAATCGAGTGTTAGATCCACTTTTGGATTTGTTTACAAAAATCAAAGTTTCAGCCTTTAGTGTCATTTTTTTGGTTGTCGGCTGTATGTTTATTAATAATCTATGTTAAAATGTGATTTAATGCTTTCAGTATTTTAATATAATGTCAATGTGGTGAAAATATACATTACCCTTTATAGTAATGGGTACTTTAGCTGTATGCAGGTACTGATCTTGTATTGTCTGTATCAGGGCCAGAAATCTTTGGCATTGGATACTGCAATTGGTATGTGGCAATTGCTGTTTGCTGAGAAGCAATGGCCATTGGTTGACCATTGGTGCCAGTTCTTACAGGTACCATGGAAATATATTGTGCTCTTTCCTTCCTAGTTTTGTGAGAAAATCTTGTAGTATTATGCTTTTGAAAAATATGTAGTTACTAATTCGGGAGTAATCATTTTTAATTGACATGCAATAAAGTAAACTGTTTGCTTGAGGTAATAATTCTAAGGTATGATATCCATAGTTTAGGTTTAAGTTAAATTATGAACAAATGTGATATGCCACTTCTGCTGCAAAGGGTAATAATGCGTAATTTCTCTGCTGTCCAAGGTCTAATGTTAAAGTTAAGTAGATATCCTATAGATGCTTTAGTAGGAATATCTGTGGCATGAACTTACATCTAAAAGTTTTAGAAAAATTAGGAACTTGCTGTGCTTGTATTTATTCATAAAAGGTGCAGTTTTTTGCATTGATGTTAATCTCAATAAGATTGGATGTACTAGTGTCTGTTAAGCTTTGTCAGATATTATGAAATTTTACGAGGTTGCTTGTATTTCTTGCATTGATCTCTACATTTAGTTGTTTTTCTAACTGCATTTTATGCTCTGATGCCACTCCAGGCCCGACATAATAAAGCAATCTCTAGGGATACGTGGTCTCAACTTCTGGAGTTTGCTAGGGTATGTTAAAAGGTTTAACATCATTGCGCCTGGGATATTCCTGCTTGCATATGCGGTTTGAATCAGCTATATCCTGTCATAAACCACACATTATATTAAAAACTTAATGCTACCAGACTATGTTGCTCCAACTCAGTTCTAAGTGTCATACATTGATATAAGATCTAAGAGTCTGTCTTGCCAAAATTCAAAATCTTACAGGGGTTCTCTTTGAAAACTGGTCAGATGTACTTGGATCCATTTGTTCTTCCAAAATAGCGGTCGAGATTAAGTAGCTGCTTTTCATTTCATTGTGTAGGCACTGATGACATAGCATTTCTCTTTTCTCCAAAAGATTGCAAATTGCAGTCTCCATCTCTGTCCCTCTCTCCACCCCTTTACTCATCAGATATCTGCAAACAACCACGGTTTGCTTACAAGAGCACAACATATCGAGCAGGTGTATGATGTTTCAATGCCATTTCCACACTGATGTTATGTTTCCTTTGTATGAAAAGGGCATATTAGGGGAACAGTCAGTCTGAGCAACAGAGCTTACAAGTAGGCTGTTGGGCAGAATATTTGCTTCATTTGTACAAAAAGTTTGTGTTGTCTTCCGTTCCTTAGTTGCACGTGCATGATATTGATGGTTCATTAATTCATCATGCCAGTCTTGTTAAAATCTTTCATCTGTGTTGTTGAAGCTGTTGATTGGTGGGTAGTACGCACTGGCATTTGTTACTGAGTTCTTGCCGCAGAAACAGTTTGGAACTTGTAATGATCTGTCCAAATTACTTGCTGCAATCATTTGTTGCATTTTGGCTGCAGAGAAAATTGGGGAAAAGAAAAGAGAGAGAGAGAGAGAGAGAGAGAGCTATCCTTTCAGTCAACTGGTCTATATGGAATCTGATCATTTCTAAGTCTGAGGTGGAGAAGAGGGTATACATAAATCTCAACCTGCAAGAGTGTTAAGCATGAAATATATTTATCAACCTTCATGAGGAAAGGAATTCTCGAGGTTTTGTATATATGGTGTGTACTTGTAAAAGTTTAAACGAGAAGTGTGTATTATTCTGTAAATTTTGTCAGAGCGACAGGGAGTACGTGTAGAGCTTGTGTCATCATTAATGGTGATGATGCAATGTTAGTAATAAAAAAAAAAAAAAAAGCTAATTCTTGTAATGTTTGTTATCTTGCAGACGGTAGACCCTGCACTATCAAATTACGATGCTGAAGGTGCTTGGCCCTATCTTATAGATGAATTTGTGGAATACTTGAACGAGAATGGCATCATTCAAAATGGCGAGGTGAGTGATTGAAGCCAAGAACGATGAAAGGACACTGCTGGGTGATAATATATCATCCTGGAATTTTCAGAGTCTGTCGTTAGTGTGATTTGTGTTGTGATGGCAATGTGAAGTAACTGTTTGATCTTTCTGAAAATAAGATGCATGAACATTTTTAGTCGATGGGATAGTTGATGTGGTATATGCATTTTCTTTTAAATTAATCGTCTGAGTTTTATTATTGGGCTTGAAAATTCTTTGAAGTAGATGTTTTCTATGATACTAAATGAATAACAAGGATCCTTACAAATTGGCAAAATTGACATTAAGTAGTTTGTGGTTCAAATCCTAGGATCTGTAATTTATTTTCCAAATAGGAATTAAAAAAAAAAAGAAATCCAAGGTGGCGGTTGGATTTGATGATCTATTGAAGCATTGATTTGGATTTTGAGTTATTTGATGCTTGAGTGCAAATAAAATGTATAAATTAATGCTTAAAAAACAAATTACAATTGCGTTCTGAACTTATTGCATGTAGTATTAATCTAAAGTATGAAATAACTGCATATTTGATACTTTGATTGGGTTTATATTTGATGTGTTGTTAATGTAAAAATTTTATATATTGTTAGTGAATTAAATGTTATTTTATTAAGGAACTAATATAATCTCTTAAAATAAATATATAAAAATTAATATTTTAAAAAAATTATTTATTAATAAGATATTATCATTTGAATTATTTTATTAAAGGAGTTATATTATCTAATTTATTGATAGTGTATAAATTTTATATTAAAATTTAAATATTAATAATGCATCTAATATAAATTCAAAATGTAATTTATTAATCAATAGCATAATTGAATTAAAATGATCATAAATTTTCTGAGGCCTATAGATCCAAGATTTCAATATTAAGAGAAGGGATTAGAATAAATTAAAACTTTTTTAGTTTTATATTGTTTAAGTTGATCCATATTCTCTTTATATATTTATGTATGGGGGAGGTGTCAACTTATATCAATATAAAATTATAAAATAATTTTAAAAGTTTTATATTTTATTAATTATTGATTTTAATATATCTAATAGATGAAAGAGACAAATGAAAATGAGATTTAAATAATGTAATTTTGATCACTTGGATTAATTAAAATTAACAGTTAAAAGTATAAAATTTTTTTGTGTAAGTTGATTCTTAATCTTACAGAAAGTGTGAATGTAGAAAGTAAGGCAGACAAATGTTATCCTTAAATGTTATTAAAATTGGAACAAAGGTAATGTGGTAGTTAAAGAAATTGAAGCTAACGTAATTTTTTTATAAAATGGAATAAAAACTGCATCTGCCGCAGATGACATGTTCGACAGAAAAATTTAAGGGCTCCAGAAGATCCTGGCACATTAAACGATGAGCCTAGTTGGGTTACCTTCCAGCACATCGATCAATTCATATTATCTGGTTCCGGAACCTTTGATGGCCAAGGAGGAAACAAATACTGCTTGGGCACTAAATGATTGCAAAGAAAACGATTAGGTGCAACAAACTTCCCGTTTTAAGATCATATAGAGCTTTTTTTTAAATGTCTTCAGCATTTTACTTCTACAGTTATAATAAAATTGCAGGTTCAAATTTCACAGAATGTAAGATCCAACTTCATTAGCAATGGAGTCATTAGAGATATATCTCTTTGGACAGCAAACAATTTCACATTAACTTTTTTGAGTGCAAAAAGCCTACATTTGCAAATGTTAACATCAATGCGCTAGTGGAAAGCCCCAACACTGATGGAATAGTGTTAAAGTATTGTAAATTGGCAACAACAATATCCAAGAAACTATTGAAAGCACAAGAGCAAAATATAAATAACAAACTCAAAACTGAAAATCAACAAGAATTAAAATTTAATAGAGTAATTTAAATGATATTTTTATTCACAGGAATTAAAGCTATTTAAATGCTACTAGAGACCCTCTAAACCACACAATTTCAGTGCTGTTAAAGCAAGCACTCAATCACAACAAAACAACAATATTAACTGCAAAACCAATCATATAAACGAGGCCTATAAGCAAAAGGAACGGAAACAAATTGGACAATAGCATAGATCTTTTTTTTTCTTGAATACCATGCAAATAAATAAATAAATAAATAAAAGTATGCGTTGAAGTCCAAGTTTTCAATAGTATAAAAAGTTAATTGAATAAATCAAATCAACAGTGTAAAGGTTTCGCAAAAAGAATGACCAGAAAAAGTAGTGATTTGTGTTTATAGTTTACCAAAATGTTTCTTCTCAATTATAAAATTTAGAAGTTTTTCCAGCTGTTTTGGTTGGGGTCTCTCTTCAGGACTGTCACTTTGATCACTTGGTTCTGCCCTCTCTGGGATGTTATGTTGTCGCTTTACAAGGGCAGCACCATTCCTTGTTGATTCCTGATCACCAACAATGTCTTGCTGGATATTGTCAATATTTGCAGAAGTTGTTGGACTACTATACTGGTGTTGTATTTCTTCCATCCCTTCTAAATCTTTGATGTACACTATTCGAACCCCACACTTCTTCACCTTGGGACCCACACAATGTTGAGTAGGTTTGATTATCAACTCAATTTCGTAGCATTCCTAATCTGTCCGATTAAATTCCATATTAAGTTGAAGGATGAGGAGGAACTGTTTAACAAAGAACTTACTTGTCTAGTAGCTTCTTCATTTTATCCTATGGTTGAAACTTTAGATACCTTATTCTTTGAGCTTCCTCAAGAAATACCTTCCATAGAGGATTATGATTTAAATGGATTTTGGAGAGAATGGACCAATTCTCTATACTAAACTTCAAGAAAGTCATAACAGTAGTCCTCTTCAAGATAATGTGGAGCCTCATAGTATACACATGCCATTTCTTCAATTTGTTGAGAGTCAATTGTCTAATGATTTAGAAATTCATGTGGTAGAAATAGCCCGTAGAGAGCCCAATGAAAAGGATAAAGATGAAATAGAGGAATTTTTTAAAGAAATGCCAAAAGTTGATAATATGGAGGAGTTGGATGGTGATGAAATTGAGAGATTTTTGAATAGACACTTAGATTTGGAAGATAATAATGATGAAGATACACTTAGTGTCATAGAATTCCTTAATGATGATAAAGATACACTTGGTGTCATAGAATTCCTTCCTTGCCTACAAGTTTTCCCAACATTTAATTTTCAACCTGATACCTTTGACTCTATATCCTTTATGCTCACACAAACTATACCACATGTGGAGGAGCCTTTTATTCTAGAGTATAAAGCTAAGCTCTCCATGTTGACATCCATATCATTGGTAGTTGTCTACATTGGGATACACTTAGAACATATATATAGGTGGGACAAAAATCTACCACTAAGCATTATATCCATTTAAAGCTTACGATTACATATCCAATGCTAATAAAGAGAATGAAATGGGTAGATACTAGAATAAAGTTTGGTGTGATTTTCTAACACTAATGAAAATCAAGTTATTGATTTTAAACAAACACTTCTTGGAAGGCAAAACAAGTTCTACACTTCATGTTTAGTTTTTGTACATATTATTTATATTGTGATTTTTGCATATGTTTTTATATATAATGTGTTTGCTTTTATTGTATGTATTTTTTTTTTTTTTTGTAGGATGGATAAAGGATTGAAGACTAGGAGTTTTAATGGCTGACCATCTTGCTTTCATAATGATAAGGGAGTTTCCTTTTACATCTTATGCATTTTACTTTTTGATATCTACACATTGAGTGAAGGGAATTATGCATCAATATATAGAGTTAAAGCGACAAAATTTTAAAAATTTTAATTATTTAAAGCTAAGATCAATCAACAAGATCAAACAAATACACAATTTATATAAGCATGCATGGTTTTAAGCTTCGGTGTTATCTTGAATGCCAAAATCTTTTTGGTTCAAATTGGTAACCTTCCAAATAGTTTCTCAAGCCAAAAAAGTTGCTCAAGTGTTTAGCCTTTAATAGTGATTCACACAAACGCTTGTGAAAGAACCTTCTCTAAGGTATGATAGAACATAAACCACACTCTAGCTAGTGAGTGTTTACAAAACCTCTTGTTTTCTCTCAAGTTTTTGCTTAGACTCTCTTAGGTTATTTTTGCATCATGTATGCCTTGTGTTAAGTATTACTTGCAAGAGGGATAGAGGCTTGATGTTATTTTATAGAAGGACATCCAGCCACATTACAAGGCATGCATATTTTCATAAATATCCCATGCTTGGCCGAATGCACTAAATGGGGAAAGTCTTTTTCTTTCGATTTATTTCCTCTATTTTTTAGTCATACAAAAACCAAATTAAGTCAAACTTAATTTATCTCAATTTTAATCTTTCACAATTGTCCTATTGTGTGTGATCCATTAGGTTATTTAGCATGTTGGTAATAAATACAAGCATTGTGAGCCAAGTATTCGGCTATGGATGAAATAATTATTTAACTTTTTCACTAATTCTTTAATTAGCTAATCTTATGTTTATAGATTATGATCAATGCTAGCTTCATTGCCATGACCCTCAATTGCTAAAGAAAAGTTAATATGGCTTGACAACCTATCCGTGAATGGTCTTAGTTTATAATTAATATCTTTTCATCACATAGTATCTTAGTTTGAACATTAAGTATGGTTTAGTGTTTAGTTAATCTTGTTCAACCATGTTAAGTCTTGTCTTTAACATTAACTCACAAATAAGCTTTAGAACAATTCTAAACTTTTATTACATTTTGCCAAAAGATTTCTCCAGTTAATTCAATCAAGATTAGTTAAGGTACTATATTAATCACACAAGGTGATGAATCCCATCTTGATTACTTCATACATCTTCATATGCCTCATATTATACCTAACAATACTCGACTAGAGCATTCTTAGTTAGAATCATAAGTTAAGTCAAAGTATGACATTCATCATATAAGATCATAAGTAATCTCAAGTTAAAAGATCATTTATACAACCATCACATAAGAATGTAGCTATAAGCATTATGTGAAC